TTTGCCTGCTGTCAAAGCCTCATCTACTTTGTTACACAGTCTAGGGATGTCAAGTAAATCAGACATTTCTGTCAGGTACAAGAGAGGTTCTTCGAAGAGCTTGGTTTGTGTTTTCCATAGTTCCAAAATGTTTCAACACATATGACTGTTTTCAACGGTTCTCAGGGTTTTGGTCCACCATGCTTTCAATTCATTCCAACTGATCATAATCCATTTATCTCACTACATCAGAGAGTTGCTTCATAATTAGGTAGATGAGCACAATAATTTATGGATCAAGAAACCAGCTTTGTGTCCTCTTGCTGCTCATCTCTAAAGCCCAGGCTGTCTCCAGGGTAAGGTCCTCATTATTATGTACAGTATAGTTTTGGTGCAGGTCCATCACTTTGAGTCTACTCCATTTGTCCTGGTGGCACTTTCACTCCAGTTAATTCTACACTGTTACGCCGGCTGCCATTATCCAGGCCCTTAGACTTTTGGAAATCCCTGGCAATGTCCTCGAAAGTCCGGCCACGTGTCTCAGGAACTTTGAAGAACGTGTAGATGAAGAACAAAATCAGAAGTATCACGAAGATGAGGAAGACGTAGGGACCACATCCATCCTTTTTGAAAAGAGAAAGACAGTTAGTAGATTAGAGCAAAAAAAGAAAAAGAGTAACATAGTGTACACCAGTATGAGCTGTGACAACTGATCTACAGTAAAGGACATGAAGTGGAGATGCCAACATCTGCATCTCAAGAAAAATGCATTACCTTAGCAAATATGGCTGACTAAAATGATTATTACACTTCCCCTCAAGCCAAGTAGTATATAATCCCTTTCTACTTACCGCTGCATAGGGGAATAACATCCCAACAAGGAAGTTGGCTGTCCAGTTTGAGCAGCCCGATACGGCCATAGCTGCTGGTCGCGGACCTTGGCTGAAAAGCTCAGCCACGATGAACCAGGGGATAGGTCCTGGGCCAATCTCAAAGAAAGCCACAAACAGGTAGATGGCCGCAATGGACACATAACTCCACCCAAAGGACTGTTCCTAAAGAGACCAACAAAATGTGATTAGAGTTAGACACAGCAAAATGGGAAAGTATTAAGACGTGAACAGACTATAAGAGAAAAATAGTATTTTACCTAGGTCAGCTTGGCAAAAAAGGGAAGCAAGCCCATACAAAATATGAGGGATGAGCCAAAAATATGAGCATGGAAGAGTAAAACTGGGAAAAATGGTGCGATTTGGGGGAAAATCAGATTGTTTTATCAAAATTTGGCTATTTTACCCAAATGCCTTGGTGTCAAATGAGAGGGCAAAATTAAGGTTGCTTATGATGTGCAAAAGTCATTTAAATTACTGCTAATGCATAAGGAAGCTCCATTCAACTATCCAGAAGCTGTTCTTGTGCCAACAAATGGCCCCTTGTTACCTAGAAACATGATGTTATATACTGAGAAACAGTGGAACCCGTGTCCTAAAGCTAACCCCAAGGCTAACACTAAAGTTTACCCTAACCATTTATCAATACAGACACACGACCATCATGTCACTGCTGAGAGGTTGACCACATGACTTGAGCCAATTGATTTGTTTTCTAAGTGAACATGGCCTGAGCAGTCGGCATGGTGAAACTTCAGGATAACATTTTACCAAAGGTTAAACCAGTAATTTTGCTAAAAAAAATTGTTTAGGCTAAATCACACCACTCATCCGTAATCAATGGTGAAGTAAATTAAGAACTGGGATACATTTCCTAGAGGTAAGGGAGGCTATAACCGGAAACTGGGGTGATAATTTGTATACACCCGAGTAATGCATCATACACCATATGGGAAAAAAAATTAATTAATCTAGTGACAAAAATAACTTTTCAAAGAAAAACTGTAATTTGTACTTAGGTCTTCAGATGGGAGTGTGATAAACCCTCATGGTACGGGGAATATGGAGAAGAAGATGAAGTAGGATAGGAGAGATCTTCAGATGGGAGTGTGATAAGCTCTCATGGTACAGGGAATATGGAGAAGAAGATGAAGTAGGATAGGAGAGATCTTCAGATGGGAGTGTGATAATCCCTCATGGTACGGGGAATATGGAGAAAAAGCAGTAGGATAGGAGAGATCTTCAGATGGGAGTGTGATAAGCCCTCATGGTACGGGGAATATGGAGAAGAAGCATTAGGATAGGAGAGATCTTCAGATGAGAGTGTGATAAGCCCTCATGGTATGGGGAATATGGAGAAGATGAAGTAGGATAGGAGAGATCTTCAGATGGGAGTGTGATAAGCCCTCATGGTACGGGGAATATGGAGAAGAAGATGAAGTAGGATATGAGAGATCTTCAGATGGGAGGGTGATAAGCCCTCATGGTACAGAGAATATGGAGAAGAAGATGAAGTAGGATATGAGAGATCTTCAGACGGGAGTGTGATAAGCCCTCATGGTACGGGGAATATGGAGAAGAAGATGAAGTAGGATAGGAGAGATCTTTTAATTTAGAAATATAAAGTAGTTCTCACCGTAAGCTTAAGAGCAATTGTCATTAAGAGAGCGAATACGGCCATTCCACCGAGGCCGGTGAGGTGTAGTGTGCGCCGACCAGCCCGTTCTACAACCAACAGCTGAAAGAAAGAGGAGTCAAGAGTGTTTATTTGGCTATGCCTTTTGCGAGAATTCACATATTCAAAGTGAAATAGTAAAACCATTTTCTGATTTACCAACAAAAGAAGATCCAGGGGGCTTTTAAGGTGTCACATCCGGATAAACAGGTTGTAATCACATACAGAATATTCTTAATCAATGAATCAATGAAAAACCAATTGTTAACTATTGGTTTTTCATTAATTGATTAAGAATATTCCGTATGTGATTACAACCCGTATATCCGGATGTGACACCTTAAAAGGTTCTCTTTTGTTGGTATTCAATTATTTAGGGGTGTGGTGTCCTAATTTTCTTTAGTGGTTCAACCAATCTTGTATACATTTTCGGATTTAGAAATGGGAGCCATAAAAAGAAGATGCACCAAATAATGGTTCAATACGAAGCATTTGAAAGGAAAGATGCGACTAGTGCACCAAGTGTACGCACTAGGTTTTTATTGGTGTCTGGGTCCCCCACAGGGGAGATTCACCCTCCTATTTGTCCTGATGGCCATTGTCACCGGGACAGAAAATGATAGGAGATCCAACATTTTACAGTTGGCACCGTAGCAGGAAGTGAGGGGAAATCCTGCACTGGAGATACCTATTCCAGTGAAAACTTTCTTTACTTGGGGGAAATTTCCATTCACTTCCTCTTGTGTCTTACAAATGGGAAGGAAAATCTCTACTGTGGGAAACAGACTTAAAGAAAAATAACCTAACAGGAGTTTTAACCCTTCCCTTCTCTAGCCAAGATGTTAAAGTCAACAGGCAGAGTGTAATCAAGGCCGGATTTCCCACAAGGCCAATCGAGGCTAGACATGTGCGATTCGTTTCGTTACGAATCGAAATTCGTACGAATTTTCCTGAAATTCCGAATTTCGGAGCATCCGAAATCCGAATGGCAGTTCCGAATTATTCCGAATTTCGGATCCGAATTTCTTTGAAACAGGAACTAATATTACCCCTGTAAAATGTAAATGAGGTTGAACAACATGACAAGATTTTTTTTTTAATCCGAGATACGGATCCGCAAGGCTCGACATCGGGGCAGCAGGGTGTAAAGGGGCAGCAGGGGTGTGAAATTCCTATCTCCCGATGCCTGGGTCATGCAGTTCCAGGTGCCGGGCTGGTAGTTGTTTTCTACATTTAGCCCTGCTTTGGGCAAGCAGGGCTAAATGTACAGCGGGGATGTACAGTACAGTTTTGTACAAGTGATTTGGGCGATGTCGCCGAGATCACTTGTGTGCGGCCTGCGTACAGGGGGGTGCATTGGGGAACCTGGCCTTGGGGCAGCAGAGAGAGTAAATCCGGCCCTGAGTGTAATAGACTTACTGTCCTGAAGTCCTGCGGAGAAAACATATATTAGAGGATTGTACCATCGCAAACAGCTTATGGCCACTGAGTGGCATGTGTACCATACTCACCGATACAACGGTAAACACCACGTTCACAACACCAGCGCCGATGGTAGCAGCAATTGGATTGGGGACTTTGGCATTCTCAAAAATACTAGTAGAGTAATAGAAGATCTGCAAGGAGAAGAATATGCCTGCTATTTAATAGGAAAGTGCAGGATGTGCAATAAAATAGCAGCCTTCAAACTACACATTGCATTCGACCCTCCCCTAAGTTTCCTATGTACTCCAGGGAAAACTACAAAGGCTGGCAGCCCTGAGTGGAGGTATCCCTCATTCAGACATCAATCACAACCTGGACCTGCAGCCAATTACAATTGCTGAGCAATATATAAGTATTTGAATGCTCAGACTTGCGATCAGACCGCCTGGTAGAGGAAAGTCTTCCTATACTGAATTCCTTTGCAGCTCTGAGATATGTCATGTGAAATGTTGTGTTTTCAGCTCTGCTGACATGTTGTGTGTTCAGCTCTGCTGACATGTTGTGTATTCAACTCTGGTGAGATCTGTATTTAGCCCTATTGAGAAAATGCCCTAAAATCACTAAACTAGGGACATCCCTAGTTATTAGTATGTTTTCTTTCCAGGTCGAATGTAATTTCAGGAAAATACCACATTATGGCCACTAGATGGAGCTGAGGATAAATACTTTTTACCTATGCTCTTCAGATCTACCTGCTGGGCATAGTAGAAATAAATACTTATTTTTCTATGCTCCTCAGTTCCATCTAGTGGCCATAATGTGACCTGGAAAGAAAAGATACTAAGAAAGTTTGTTTTTGCCTCCATTTGTATCGAACGTATGTACATGCAGCTTTGCAGGATGAGTGTATTTGTGTATTGCACTTTCTTTAGCCCATAGGAAACTGTTCCTACCATGAAAAGGCTATTTCATTGTGTTTGTCTGCCAGCCCAAATGTTACCAGTCCTCCTAATTCCGCCCTAAACAGTCACCCTGGCTCGCTCTGCCCTCTCTTCTGTATTAGTTGGACCTGCCTGCATAGTAAGAGGTAGCTAGAGGAAGCTGAGAAAAGACTCAGATAAAAGACAGCCAGGTTAGTTACGCACTGCATTGATCCCGGACAGTTGCTGTGACAGTTGCAGGACGATGGCGATAATGATGGGCTGGCGGTACTGCGCGGAGCGGAATAATTCAATAAAGGACACGGGTTTCTCCTGCGCCATCAGTTCGCCTTCCTTCTTCATTTCTGCAATTTCACCGGCCACATTTCGGGATGCTCGAATCTTCTGTAAGACTAACAACAGATATTGTGTAAAACACAATGGGGAGTCACTAGGGCTCAGAAATAACACAAGTCAGTTATAATAGGGTAATATAGCCAAGGGACCAAGAGTTGTGACCTTTCAGGGGCCCACACCTTTCACATAGACAGTCAATGGTCCATTTACAGTCATTCACAACAGGGAAATTAAAACCCAACTCCGGGCCAACAACTAAATGGACAGCTGAAATACATATTTTGGAGTTGCAAATTTCAACACTATCCTGAGATTTATACAGCTCCACCAGACAGGAGACCCAGGTTGGTGACCTGACACAGGAAGTGAGAGGAAATCTCACAAAAGTTAGAGGAACTTCCCCTTTAGATAGTTGTCACTGGAACAGCTGCCCCCCATTTGAAGGTTTCCCCTCTATTAATGCAACAGTAAAGGCTGTAAACATTTTGGGTTCTCAGGGCCAAGCCTCCCATGAGGCCAACTGAGGCAGCTGCTTTAGGTGGCACTCATGGTGGATGCCCAATTAGTGTAACATTTTGGGTCCTCAGGGCCATGCCTCCCATGAGGCCAACTGAGGCAGCTGCTTAAGGTGGCACTCATGGTGGATGCCCAGTAAGTGTAACATTTTGGGTCCTAAGGGCCAAGCCTCACATGAGGCCAAGTGAGGCAGCTGCTTTAGGTGGCACTCATGGTGGATGCCAAATAAGTGTAACATTTTGGGTCCTAAGGGCCAAGCCTCACATGAGGCCAAGTGAGGCAGCTGCTTTAGGTGGCACTCATGGTGGATGCCCAATTAGTGTAACATTTTGGATCTTCAGGGCCAAGCCTCCTATAAAGACCAACTGAGGTAGCTGCTTTAGGTGGCACTCATGGTGGATGCCCAATTAGTAGATAAGAGAGTGAAAAAAGGTCTAGGGTAGGAATGTACTTTGAGATACATTCGGTGGGATAAGGGGAGCAGCAGTCAAGACTTTGAACCCTGACTTCATAGGCCCCCGGGACAGTTAGCCCCTGTAATATTATGAACTGCACAGTACTCACTTTCTTCAGCTTTGTCAGTTTCCTTCTTGATGATCAGCAGGTAGCGGGGGCTTTCAGGACAGAATGGCAGCATGATACACTGGATGATCGCCAGGAGGACGGTAAAACCCAACAGCAAGGGCCATAAGGTCACTGAACCCAGGATGACGTCAAGACCAAAAATCTGGAAACAGCAGCAAGGAACCGGTGTCAGTTAAAAGGGGAATAACACATATTCATCATAGGAAAAGCTTAGTTAGAACCCTGCTCTACCATGACTGTGGGCCTGCCCAGCACCGTACAGTTTTATGAGACCTTCACATTCGCACCATCCGCTTCAGTGGAAAGCCAGTTGAATAAAGTGACAGTAGGAAATGACGGTTGGTGCTTTCAATTAGCAATCACAGTACACATAGGTGAGCCCTGCACCGGAATAAGGCACCAACAAGAAACAAACCAAAGTAAGGAAATGTGTCATGTGGCAACAATAAGTGGTTTGGTTTTTTGGTGCTATATACTATATAGGATACATATGAACCGTATTCTGGAATTTTCATTAACCCTAAAATGTACTACCCTTACTAAGATATACGTAAATATACCATTACAAATGTTTTGTTATATTTGTTCTGTATCTGTATACCTGTTGATCCTGTTTTTTATGCTCCCCTGTCAAATCCCAAAATGACAACATTACAGTTGTGTCCCACACACCTCTTTTCATGTGCTCACCTGTGCTATCAATATGCCAACCACGATGCCCAGTTGGTTGAGGGTCCCTAGAGCTCCTCGGTAATCGGTGGGCGCCAGTTCCCCAATGTACATCGGCACTAGACCAGTGCAGAACCCGGAGAAAATTCCAATAATGAATCTCCCAATAATTAGCATCTCCAACGACCAGGCGATCTTAGAAAGCGCCATGAGGGCTCCTCCCACCAGAGCAAAAACATTGACCAGTAGCATGGCATTCCTCCTGGAAGAGGGCAGATGAGAACATTGGTTATATTGCCTGGAATTCAGAACCATTTTCTTGAACAAAAG